TATTTAATTCTATTATTACTTATTGTTATAATATTTGCACATAATTTAAACTAACAAAAATTCGTTATTCAAAAAATTATTTTGTAATTTCTTTTAGTTGGTAAGTTATAAGCTATTTATTTAATTTTATTATTACTTTTTGTTATAATATTTATATGTAATTTAAACTAACTAAATTCTTTATTTAAAAAATTATAGAAAGTAAGTTATTTACTTAATTCTATTATTAACTATTGTTATAATATTTAACTAAATTTTTTATTTAAAAAATCATTTAACAATATATTTACTTGTACTATTATTACTTATTGTTATAATATTACATATAATTTAAACTATCTAAATTCTTTATTTAAATAGATCGTAAGTTATAAATTTTCATTTAATCCTATTACTATTACTTATTGTTACAATATTTACATATTAAAAAAATATTTTGTAATTTGTTTTAGTTGGTAAGTTATAAATTATTTACTTAATTCTATTTTATAATGTTTACAAATAATTTAAACTAAATAAATTCTTTATTTAAATAGATCGTAAGTTATATTTAATTCTTGTAATATTTTACATATTATTTAAACTAACTAAATTCTATTTAAAAATTATTTAATAATATAGAGAGTAAGTTTTTATTTAATTCTGTTATTACTTATTGTTACAATATTTATATATAATTTAAACTAATTAAATTCTTTATTTAAAAAATTATTTTGTAATTTCTTTTAGTTAGTAAGTTATAAGTTATTTATATAATTCTATTATTACTTATTGTTATAATATTTACATATAATTTAAACTATCTAATTTCTTTATTTAAAAAATTATTAAATAATATAGGGAGTAAGTTATTTATTTAATTCTATTATTACTTATTGTTATAATATTTACATATAATTTAAACTATCTAATTTCTTTATTTAAAAAATTATTAAATAATATAGGGAGTAAGTTATTTATTTAATTCTATTATTACTTATTGTTATAATATTTAATATGATTTAAAACTAACTAAATTCTTTATTTAAAAAATTATTTTATAATTTCTTTTAGTTGGTAAGTTATAAGTTATTTGTATAATTTTATTATTACTTATTGTTATAATAATTACATACTATTTAAACTAACTAAATCTTTATTTAAAAAATTATTTAATAATATAGGGAGTAAGTTATTTATATAATTCTATTATTACTTATTATTATAATATTTACATATAATTTAAACTAACTAAATTTTTTATTTAAATAGATCGTAAGCTATAAGTTATCATTATATAATTCTATTATTACTTATTTGTTATATAATTTAAACTAACTAAATTTTTTATTTAAAAAATTATTTTGTAATTTCTTTTAGTTGGTAAGTTATAAGTTATTTATTTAATTCTATTATTACTTATTGTCATAATATTTACATATAATTTAAACTAATTATATTCTTTATTTAAATAGATCGTAAGTTATAAGTCATTTATTTAAATCTATTATTACTTATTGTTACATTATTTACACATAATTTTAAAAAATTATTTTGTAATTTCTTTAGTTGGTAAGTTATTAGTTATTTATTTAATTCAATTATTACTTATTGCTATGATATTTATACTATATAATTTAAACTAACTAAATTCTTTATTTAATAATATAGAGAGTAAGTTATTTATTTAATTCTATTATTATTTATTGTTAATATTTACATGTAATTCAAACTAACTAAATTCTTTATTTAAAAAAATTATTTAATAATATAGGGAGTAAGTTATTTATTTAATTCTATTGTTACTTATTGCTATAGTATTTACATATAATTTAAACTAAATAAATTCTTTATTTTTATTTAAAAAATTATTTTGTAATTTCTTTTAGTTGGTAAGTTATAAGTTATTTATATAATTCTATTATTACTTATCATTATAATATTTACATATAATTTAAACTAACCAAATTCTTTATTTAAAAAATTATTCATTTAGTTGGTAATTTATAAGTTATTTATTTAATTCTATTATTTACTTATTGTTATAATATTTACGAATAATTTAAACTATAATATTTATACATAATTTTAACTAATTTTAATATTTTATATATGATTTAAACTAACTAAATTCTTTAATTAAATAGATCGTAAGTTAAAGTTATTTATTTTAATTCTATTAATACTTATTGTTATAATATTTACAT